AAGTGTAGTGAGTGTACTGTGATATTACAATATAAATGAAATGGCATCGATTACTGTACACTATAATGAAATAAAAAGACTTGTATAAAAATAAAAAAAATGTTAATCATCTGGTTTCTTTTATTGGTCTAGAAACTGATGCAGATTCTTTTTTTTCTTATCAGGTATCAGCAACGGAGTGTCGTCAAATTGGCTAAATGCATAACGTCAACATCAGCGACAGACATCACTGCCCTGTCTGCTATCAATGATTTCCTCTCTTGTATCCTTTTGTCTTGGTATTATTGTTTTTGCAGCAGGAAGTATTCTATACAGTAGACTGCACTGATGCTGTGGAGAGCAAAGTGAACAAGTGTTGCCTCAGGGCAAACACTGCAGACTGTACCTGTAAATAATTTAGGTGTCTTAAATTGTTAAGGAATGTCTGCGTTCCTGCCCCTTTTTAGGTTTTTACGATGCATTTACTTTACAATAAATCCACTGGTGTGAGCTGCGTCAGGATACGTGGGATCCTGTCTGTAGTTATTTTGCACCACCATGTTTGGGAGTGGAAAATGGGTATACAGTGATTACAGTAAAAACTATTATAAATGGGATATTTTAAGTCTGGATTTACCATATCAATTAGGGATTTATTGGTTTATCATTAAAAACACACAATTAAGTTAAACAGAAATCTGTGTCTTTGTTGCCTACAGCACACCTATAGTATGTAAACAAATAATATCATACATTTTCTTAAAAGCTGTCTCAGACATTGTTCTAGCTTGTGGTTCTGATCGATCCATCCAGGTATTTGACATGAACAGGGGTTGTGTTGCCGCAGCGATCCCTGATGCTCACAGCAGATCCATCCACTGCATTACACAGAACAAGGTGAGTCCATTTAAATCTTACTTTCAAAAAACGGACTGTCAAATCCTTTTTAAGAGTCCTATCTTCTACAAAATATGTTATCTTTATTATATGTATTATAATACGATGTAACGTCGATAATGTCAACATGTGTGAAGTACCTACGCATAGATTCTTCATTCATAAGAAACTGGTAAGTATACTAGATATCAAAACTGGAAACCATTGAAGAAGTTTTACCCATATCCTGACTATTGTGAAAAATAACAGGTAAAAACACAACAGTCTGCAACTTCTGCTTTTCCCTCTTCAATAGGCAATAACAATGAGTGTGATTCATTCAAATAAAGTTTGCCTTAAACCACAGACATTGTTTTTCAGAAAATGGCATATTTCTTTACAATTATATTTGTCATTGAAAGGGAACCGTTTTTGGCATTCAAAAACTCACCCATAAACGTGTTTTGTGTAGTTCCACTAAAACTTACAAAAATCTTTGAACCTTTGTGAATGGAGTCAAAAACATAACCGACAGACTGAGTGACGTTCAGACCTGACCCATACTGCAGAGATTTAGCTTGGCTTGGCATCAATTGTAAGTATGAGCTCCATCTTCCATTTAACTCTTGAAGGGGGCTACTATTTGGCAGAGGCTGTAGTCTTACATAAGCCTTCTAGGAGCGTTGTGAGAGTTACATAAGGCACAAATCATCTTTGAGCAAACAGAAGTGTTAGTTTGTGGTGTGACTGAAGAAGGTCATGGTTAAAAAACAGTTTCCATGACAGGCAGACTGGACGTGCCATCATCAGTATCATTCATCTTGCTGAGAGTTTGAATGTAATTCCCTGGTGCATCAGGATTCAGCAGGAGATGGCAGGCCTTGGAGTAACGCTGTTCCATGATGCACTTTGGGTTTTTGTGGCCTTACTCACTCATCACTGTCTTGGAACAATGTGGTCCCAATTTGCTGGTATCTAACAAGTAGACAGCTTGGGCCTGTATCCATATCCATTATAGTGCTATGAAGAATTTAATACTGCGTCATCACTCAAAATGAAACTATAAATATCAGTTATGAATTCTGGGTCTTTTTTACATTTCTGTGCAGATATGTAACCTTTTTTACAGTGGAAAGAAGGTCCTGGTTTGCCTGTTTTTCTAATTAAAAAAAAGACATTACTTCTCATCATAATAAATGCGTAAATCATTCAGCTGCTAATATAACTTGTCTTAACCCTCCTATTGTCTTCGTTTCCCCCCCCCTTACTTTGGTGTTCGCGGTCAAATTTGACCGGTCCTGTTTTAACTGCTATTACATTAACACAAAAACCATTAATCATCACCAAATTTCATTTAAAACCCTTTCAAACTGTACATATTGTATCAGACTTCTGGTATACATGAAGAACTTCAGTAAATATACAAAGAATAGACACTGAACATATATTGCGTGTGCCAGGTGTGATCCATGTGGGGGGGGTGGGCACATAAGAGCGGGAAATGTGTCAAATTGTTCTGTGTGTTTGTGAGTGCCAGGTGTGATTCACAGGGGGGGATTGGGCACATAAGGGGTGGGGGACACATCTAGAGTATGTGTGTGTTTGTGTGTGTGTTTTATCTGATCCGGATGGTTACTAATTCCTTTTCTTTATGGCGGTCATTTTTGACCGGGAACACCATGGGTGTTACAAAGTTGACTAAATCATCCAAAATTCAATGAAAGTGGTGATCAGCCATTTTAAATGTTCAAATGTCTACTGTGAAGGATATCATAAAGTCTTAATGCAATTGAATGTAAACAAAAAAGTTATGATTGATGAAAGTAGTAAATCGGTCAGATTTGACCCGAAGACAACAGGAGGTACATAAAGGTGTGTATTTGTGCTAGCTTGGGCCTGTATCCACATCCATNGTAGAGCTGTTGAGGGCCGGACCATTAACCATTATCTGAAGTCTGCTGCTACCTGTGTCATGGAACACGATGATGTCATAACTCCAACTGACATGCTCAGAGCAGCAGACTTCAGATAATGGTTAATGGTCCGGCCCTCAACAGCTCTACGTCAATTATGGGGTGTCATCATATGCCGTTTCCATGGAAATGCATCCCTCGCCATAAAACACGATGTTGTTGTGATACCCGGCACTGTTGATACCTATGCAAATGGACTAAAACAGCACCAGACTTCTGATAATGGTTAATTGTCCGGCCCTAAACAGCTCTACGCCAAATCTGAGATTTCACCATAGGCTGTTTCCATGGAAACACATCCCTCGCCAAAACACTGAAAAAATGAAAATGGTCAAAACACCACCAGACTTCAGATGACAGTTAATGGTCCAGCCCTCAACATGTCTATGTGCTATTAGTGAGTTTTCCTCAAAAGCTGTTGCCATGGCAACGCATCCCTCGCCGTAAAACACGATATTGCTACTGTATAACTCCTATGAAAATGGTCAAAAAGTGCTCAAACTTCACGTGCGCTAACAGTCCAGCCGTGAAGACATCTACGTGACAGTTTTGAAATTTCTTCAAATGCCATTGCCATAGCAGCACAATGCTCGCTATGAAACACGGTTTTCTCATAACTTCAGTGAAAATGCTCCAAACGGCCCAAAACTTCACAGGTTTGCTAACGATGCAGCCATCAAAACATCTAAGCGTATTATGGGGTGTCATCAAATACCGTTGCCATGAAGACAGATCATTCCTCATCAAGGGTGTTCAATAGTTTCCAGTTCAAATATTCTGATGCTTTTCCAAGCTTTTTTACTTTATTTTCTTCTCTTATCCCACATTCCCCCAGTGTTCATTTATCATTTCAATCTAAATTCTTCCCTTTCTTCTTACACATTACATTTCAGAATAGCAATTCAGCGTCAGCTTTTCAGCATAAAGCATTCCCACTAGCAATCTCTTCAGGAACTGCATTCTCTAGTTGTATTTGCTGTTCAGATGCTAAATACTGGAAGTATCTGAACTACAAATCAGGTTTGTCTACAAACTTGGCCCAGGCAACTAGAAAACACATCCCTAGTATTGCAAATGGAAGCTAACAAACATGTGTTTCTCTGTCATGTGTGCAGTTTAGAACAAGAGGAAGAGGGTCATCATACATACAGCATGACACTGATGTAGTGGCAGTCAATAACAGGTGTTTCCTAACCCTGTGCTGCCAAGCCCTTCTGAATGAGTTTGGTTGAAGGGGGGAACAAAGTGGCAACCACTTCTACTGGACTCAGCGCTGCATGTGCTCATGTGCTCATGTGCCCTCTGTTACTTCTCAGGAGATTGCAAGAACTACAAATTGTTGAATCAGTGGATTGTATGGAAAGTTACAAATATGAACATTAGTATTATCAGCATTTTTGTTTGCATATGTTTTCTATATATTCACAATATAGGCTACTAAACATTGGCAAGTTCCACATTGGACTTCTTCTTTTTTTAATTGTAATTTTAGGTTTATTTATAAATGAATTTGATTTTCAAGTCATTAAACAATACTGAAATGTTAAAAGTATGCTATTCCATGAATAAGCCTGTTAATATAGGTGCATAAGCCTGCTTCAATCACAATTTTGCAAAAATAATATATAAAAAGAATAGAGTTGCAGCCATTGCCTGCCTAACTCTGGGGTGTCTACATTTACTTTGGTTTGTCACTATTTAAAAATAAACGTATTATCAAAACAAAAAAATGCATTTAAGTTGAATATGTAAAAAAATGCAAAAATGTACTAAACTCATAACTATTTGTGGAGGTCATGGACCTCATTGGAGCAGAAGTCCAATCAGAAACCTCATCATTTACCTAGTAATACTGCTAAACTGTCTTGTTTAATTCATAAATATAATAATAATAAAAATGTCCTACATGAGCTTATAACTGTCTTAATACGGCATACGAACAGCAAATAAATGCTACTGCAGTGGCTGTAGGAAATACACCAGAGGACACTAGGTCTTAAGTGGATTTCATGTCATCCTGTTTGAGTGGCTAAAGGATAAGCAGTTATAAAAAGCATGAATGGAGAGGGGAATGCTGGGAAGTGTAGTTCTTAGCAGTAGCTAGCGGATATGACGGGTGTGTTATGTAGCTTGTAGCCGGGTGTCGTCTGCCCTCTGCTTTGCCGTAGTTGGATGAATCAGTCGACGTTCACAGTCCTTGGGTTATGACTGTGCTTTTGTAGTAGAGAGCTAACTTTAGCTATACCGTTAGCTGGTTGTCAGGTTTTAGGATTACGTTGACCGAAAAAGAGGAATTCGGGTGCCAACGCATTATTTGGACTAACTCGTGACTTTCGTTGGCCTTAATATTTTTTTAAATATGACGTTGTTAATGTTGTTGTTAATAAGGAAGCTAACTTAACTTTAGCTAGATGACTAGCTAGTGTGTCATCAACTTGTGAATCTCACAACTTATTCACTCCATAACAATCCTAACGATTCACTGTTAAGAGGTAGCTAGCAGAGAAATTGGTAGCCGTCGTATTAGCCAAGTAGCATTAAAAACGTGCACGGAGAAGCCGAAGGAACTTAGACACAGTAAAATTCGCTAGCATAGTGAAGCTAGCTGGTTGGAATTTGTGATATGAAAAAGGCACAGTCTGACACATTGGGGTTTGTTCCTCAAAAGGACATCGTATACAACAAACTTCTGCCCTATGCAGAAAAGCTAGATGATGAATCAAATGATATTTTGAGTAAAATAAAAGGAAACTTGTGCCGAGCTGTACAGCTCAGAGAGATATGGCCCGGTGTGCTGTTTTGGACAAGGAAACTCTCCACGTAAGTAGCAGTACAGTAGCTAATGTTCATCTTTGGTACCCTCACTTAAATGTTGTATTTGTAACACATTTAAAAAAACTTCTGATCTTGAGCCTGATAACATATTGTGCAACATATCTCTCTGTACATGTGTATTTGACATTGAACATATAAGTGTTGCTTGCCTAACAGTTTGTTCCTATTGCAACTACATTCTGGTCAAAGTCACGAACATAATGTTTGTTTATGGCTTAACTCTAGATGTTCGATAACGTGTTATGTTGTGCCTTGAAACTAAACTGCCCATTGTTTAAAGAAACGATCTGGGCTTCATAATTAGTGGGAAAAATGTAAAATACACTACCTGACCCAGGCACTATATTGTTGTTTGTTGGGTCTAATCTTCCTGTGATCCTGCACATAGATATACAATACAGACATACAGTACAAGTACATTTCAAACAACTTACACTAAACAGATACAGACAGTGTAGCATAATGTACCTTATTGTTATTAAAGTTGTGCTTGTGTTATGACTGACATTTTTTTTTATTCTTAAGGTCAGGAGACAACTTACAAAATATCTTAGAATCCGATACCTTTATTGGTCCCACAGAGGGGAAATGTAAAATCTCAAATAGAAATAACACGTTCTAATGTTATGGATTCATTCACTTCCTGTGAAGTTGCTTCAAACAACACACATGTTTTGATATTCAGTGTGACGTTGAGATCATCATCATCTGTTATTTGTTCACATGCTAAATGCTAAACAGATGAGTCATGGCATACTGTTCATTCTTTTTCATGAAACACAACTTATCCCAACATAGTGTTACTACCTTTTTGAATTGATCTAATAGGTATTTAATAATAAAGATGAAGATAACATATTGTGCATAGTACAGTACATAATTAGACTGTTGTTTAATGTGTTTGGTTGCTGTGCTGTCTTTAATCCTTTTCAGTCCCCAGTGCTGGTGCAATGCTCTGTACAAATGTGAGTCACTGCCGGCTCAGAGACGGAAAGTTTACTGTTGAGTTGACCCAGATTCTGTTCCCTAGTTTTTTAGCGTTTTAACAGTGATGGAAATATGTATTAGTCATTTTTAAAGGTCTCAACATAGCTTATGCCGCTTCAGTTGTGTTTTAAAAACCTGCTCTTGTTTATTCTACTCATGTTTTTACACACAAGGGAACATAAGCACCATACATTAATGTTGTTCATGCTACTCACAGGGGCACTGAAAACGTATGCATGTTCAAACTGGAGCAATTATCCCTAATATGTATCTTTTATTTAGGTATATGAGACTGTATGGGCGGAAGTTCAGCAAAGAAGACCATGTGCTGTTCATCAAGTTGCTCTACGAGCTAGTGACGATCCCCAAACTGGAGATCAGCATGATGCAGGGCCTTGCTCGGCTTCTTATCAACCTCCTCAAGTAAGACTGTGCCCCAACTGTTCTACTCAAAAACGTGTTCACAATGCAAATATGCACTTTAAATACAAAGCAACATGTAATATCTAGGGTTAATGGATTTCTGTGAGAGCTAAGTTAAATGCTAAAAACCCTGCAACCTCACCATTGATATCAATTCTGTGAAAGTGATGCTGTATGATAACCTAGGCTCTTTGTGTTATTCTCATCTATCTGCATGTCTGATTCATCTTGCAGGAAAAGAGAGCTACTGTCCCGGGAGGACCTTGAGTTGAACTGGAGACCGCTGTATGAGCTGTACGACAGGATTCTCTTCTCCAAGACAGAGCATCTGGGTCTCAACTGGTTCCCCAAGTAGGCCCTCAGTTATTCACTGCTGCTGTTGATACTTTGTGTTGCTTCATGCTAAATCAAATAATTGAGGAAATGCAATGGACCTTTTGGCGAGGCTGGTTTGTTCACTGTATTTAAAATGTTCACGGAAGGTGGATGTGTAGGAAACTATAAGTTTATTTGCCACATTTGGACATTAACAAGACCTTTGTTTTAATTACACTTAAGTCATCAATCACGAGCAGGATTTCTAGAATGCGCCCCCCCCCCCCCAATTATCTTTTTAGGCTGTTGATAGTGAAGTAATTATTCAATCCATATATTTTTGAAAAACGTCACAATCATTTTGGCATGCATTCCCATCATGGAAAAACAGAAGATATCAAGTGACAGAATTTCTGGTGTTGGAAAAGCTAATGTTGACGACTTAGACTGATGTCACTGAATATTAAATGTTCTTGGAGGTAAGATTTTTTTTCTCTTGGAACTGATCATTAACAGGGAATACCTCTATTGGCTTGCACTAATCAATACTTACATGACCATTTCCCTGATGTTCTTAGAGTATCACACAAAGGCCCATCCCTTTTTTAAATGCCTTTTTTTTTATATCACATATATTTAATCCATAATCAAAGACTTTGATATTGTATTAATAAGTGTATTAATAACATGGAAGTCTAATCAATGTTTGACATTTAGGGTCACTTTGTTAATTAGGTGCTCTCACAACTCTAAAGTACACACATAATATTGTAATCATTTAGAGACATGGATACTATTATATATATCAAGGGAAATTTGAACATTCTTCTTCGCTTATGGGTTTCAGTAGTTCTACTAAAATCTTATTGTCTTTGCAAGATTGGACCAGTTCTTGGGAAACAAAAGGAACATTTTGTGCGCCACATACCTTTTCATAACTGTACCTTATACAGGGAACACTGTCCACTATGACCCATACACAGTTTTAGAAAGCAGTTCTAAGTAGTTGTCGATTTATTCTATGCAACACCCTTATAAAGTCCCTAAGATGTAGCAGCAAGCAGTGCGAGGTGCTCTTTTATGGTGCTATGGGAACATTGACCCTTTTCTTTAACGCGTCACTGTTACTTTACAGCTGATGAAAGCAGGCTACTTTGGCTCATTTCCAGCTCAACTCTTTCAAAACTCTACTAACGCACACAAAACTGATTCTCTGAAATGGCATAATAAATTGTGATGCAAAGTATGTTCATATTTTTCAGTTATTGGCACTTTGTTGTGTGCTGAATGTGTTCTTTATGCCTTTGTCTCCTTTCACATTCAGTTCTCCAAGGCCTCGTTCATCCTCTAAACACTTAATGATAAAATTGGTTCAGAGGTGGTAAGGAAAATACTTCTCTTTGTGTTTTTACTTTGAATTCATCTTTTGAGGCACTTGTTTTTGTTTTTATTATTTTTGTATACATTGCATGTGAAAACCAAAACTGGACACCCCACATTGTGACAGAATAAAAGTCAAGACTTAAGCAATGTTAACATTTCACTCATATTGGAGACTGTCGCACTGCAGCTAACACATTTTTTTACTCTTCTCCCCCATATCCAAAATGAGACGACAGTGTAGTTTATTTCTATCTATAGCGGGTTATGTGGCAGCAATAAAGTAACAATATAAAAAAAATATTAGGAAGTAAACCGTTTATATGCAACATGAATTGCTCTATATGCTGCTTACCAGTGGGATTAGTATTACTTTTATATGTTTTCGGTTTAGTTTTGTTGTTTTCCCTACTTAGCCATACCTTCAGTACGACGCAGCATTTTCAACACGTTCCTCCTCTCCTGGAATGCTTTAGGGTGAACGAGAGTTCACTTAAACTCGGATACAAAGGTCATATAGTGTAGTCTGGGCTCCTTTCGGCCTCTGAGTGTCTGAGCAACTTGTAATGGGACACTCGGTTTGACTAGCTCTTGCTAATGGATTTGCAGTGCATGAGTTGGTACTTGGTCTGTTGCTGGTGTGTTTCAGGCTTACACTGCTAAACATTTGAGATATAGTCATGCACTTAAATAGTGTCAGCTGCTTGAGTGTCACCTATAATTCAAGTTTTATTAGAATGTTAAATGTAGAGGATGCCATCTACAAGAAGACAGTAAATATTTTGAAAATAAGTGACTAGTTGTTGGAGTGGAATTGGCCGGGCATTTCCAACAAGGCATGGCTTGAGCTTGCATGCAAACAGATCGTTGGGATTGTGGGCTGGGAGCTCAAAAGCTGTAGTTATATCGGTCAGGAGCTTTATGTGACGTTGTGAAGATAATCATGTCAGGAGTTTGTGATGTGCAAGACATTTTATAATTAGTCGTTAATCCAGAACCACCTCTTGAGAAATTGTTCGAGCTGTGATCGAATTGAAATATTTGTGTTATTATGAATGAATATTTAATTGAATTATGAATCCATATATTGGCGCGAGGCCATCCAGGAAGGTCAACAGGAAAAAACGATTGGCACTTTATTATCCGTGAATTGATTACAGTCCGATAATAATGACTTTTTATTAGGATTTTCTCACTTCACACCAGATCCTAGGGTTTCCTCGTTCACTGTACACCACTCAGGCGTTTGAAGAAGTTTCTGTGTGCATGCAATCAAAGTCAAGTTGCATTGGTGTGGAGATAGTTTAACATCACTGTTTCTGGCGGGGTGGATTTGACATGCCATAACATTCCTCTGTCATTCTGTTTTTTACAGCTCTGTGGAAAACGTGCTGAAAACACTTGTGAAAAGCTGCAGACCGTAAGTACATCTCATTTAATGATGTTTCTATAACTGTCTCTTCTATGTGCATTTTGGCTCCTTTTTGGGTATGTGCAGGAAAACATTAGCGGTATATTAGTCTAATATAAGGATAAGGAAGAGTTCAATGTGTTCATAATTCCAAAGCTTTCCTGCCACCAGTAGCTACCTGATTGTTTCCCCTCTAGTAGCGCCCCTGCAGGTATCTTAGGAGCCTCCTAGGACTCGTCCCTCAGTTTGTACTTAGGCAGATAATCCTATCATCTCTAATTCTGTCTTGTGTGAGAGTTTCCTGTCACCGTGAGGAGTTGTGGTCAGCTGCGGTCAGCTGCTGCGACGCTGTTGATCATTGGTGAGGCGTGGGGGGGGAGGGGTAGTAGCAATGGTTGGAAGTGACCATTTTTTTACAAGGCCTCGCATGGATGAAACCGCACGGAGTCTATGTGACCTGACGTGCTCAAGCACATAATAATATGTCGGGTGTATGATTTGTTATGTCACGTTTTTGGACTGATTGTGAACATTGAAAATCCAGTCACTGCTTGTTTATAACGTGAAGACCATTGTTTTTTATTGGGTTGAAGCTATCACCTAAGTCCTTATTCTTGTTACTTTATACAAATGTAGTTTAGGGTTCTCTTTTAATAGTAAAATCCAGTCATCATAGATTAATCTGATGTGTGTGATGTTTTTGTAGCACTCCTCAAAATGCTCTGCTTGTTGGGATTGTTGTCTATATTCATAATCTGGTGAATCTAATTGCTATTCTCTCTCTGTTTATACAGATACTTTCCGGAGTCTGCTTCTCAGGAGATGCTGGATGAATGGAGACCACTCCTCTGTCCCTTTGATGTCACAATGCTAAAAGCCATCAGCTACTTTGAACTCTTTCTACCCACGACTCTGCCTCCAGAGCTGCACTGCAAGGGGTTCAAGTAAGAAACCTCTCATTGTTTCCGACATGTGAAGATCCAAGATTTCTCCGTCTAAAAAGGTCTTATAGCGAGTAGCTTAGCTTTTAAAGTTAGCACTTATCAACTTTTAACAATTTTGCTGGATCCTTTCATTGGCAACCAAACAAAGAAACCTCGTCAATTGAACATCAGCCGTTCCAAACTGTGGAAATGGGTCATAAGATCTTTCCAGGATTTTGACAGTGTTAGTAATCTGCTTCTCAGATCTCAACCCAATAGAACTCCTTTGGGATGAGCAGCAGTTGGCCTCAGGAATGCTGGCCCCATAAGTGGGCTCTCTAAGCATGGAAATGAATTGATAACAATTGTTAGTAGCATCTGGTATGCCTTCAAAAGTGTAGGTGTATCTGGATGACAGGAAAGTACTAGCTTCTACTATATGTTCCGTATCCATAACTTCCTTAACATTTTCTCTGAAGTTTTCTGTAAATAACTATGATTTAGTCAATTTTTATTCATCATTATTTAGTTTTTGGAATATTTATTTCCTATATTTTGTCTAACGTTTATGCCTGGGCAGCCCATAGACACATTTTAGCAGGCACTGACAACATTTCTAAATTATCTTAAATGTAAAGATCATTGTAACTTTACCAAAAGAATACTATCCGTATTATATTCCTGATAATCCTAAACATCCAATACCAAAGTATATAGGTCTTTTAGATTGAAACCTTTTCCGAATTATGAACCCATCAGAAAAGCACTGCCCTAACTTGTTGTACACAAGTGTACGTATAGTACCTCCTGACTATGGTGTGTATTTCATTGCCAATGCTGCTTGTCAGAGAAACAAACTATCACGTTTCCTTGAGGATCTTTTCTTGGTCACCGATTGGAAATGACTTGCATCATGCTTCAGTTTCAACAGAGTGGCTGTTATGATCCTTTTGACAACATGGGTTTGTGTTACTTATAAGTAAAAACCTGAACTTCTAACCTGTTATGCCAAATGACGTGTCATGGGATTCATATCAAACATATTAACCCATCAAATAATGTTCTACCAAAACTTATTGTAGACAGGTGTACCTGTTTACCTCGCCAGAGAAGAGTGTTAATAACAAAAACTGCATTGTTAGGCTTTTATATGAAAATGACCAGCCAACCTTCCCCCATCCTTTACTTTCACTGACCTATCTGTTAAATGTCACATGTTCATACATTGTAGGGTTTTCTTCTTCTCTTGTAACCATTTGTTTGTCCGACAGGTTGTGGTTCGATGAGTTCATAGCTTTATGGTTGTCTGTGCAAAATCTTCCAAGCTGGGAAATGGTGAGTAGATAATTTGTCTGAAAGACATTTGAATGTGTAATAGTCAGTACTTCTATCTTCCCAGTTTAACATGTTTTCCTTCATCTCTGCAGCATCTGGTCAATCTCTTTGCTCGCTTGTCCAATGACAACATCGGCTACATTGATTGGGACCCTTACATCCCGAAGGTTTGTCCCTTTTTCTTTTTATATAATCACCCATTACTCAATGTAGTACTTGTTTGTTTTAGAATTTGAATGTGTTGTCTGACCTTTATGATTTGGGAACATGGTGTGTATTTCACATGTGCTTGTGACATAAGCAACCTATCAAGTGTCCGTGTTGCTTACTGAAGGGAAGTGACTTGCATCATGCCTGTTTCGACTGAGGGATTGTTTTGATGCATGAATTTTGACATCACTAGTACGAGTTATTTATCTCATGACCTGTTAATTCCAAATATATGTTAAGGACTTTTTTTTCCAAGAAAAATAATTATTAGACCCTTATTGCTTTTGCTTTTCACATTTCAGATTTTCACAAGAATCTTGAGGAGTTTGAATCTCCCTGTGGGCACGAGTCAGATGATGGTAGCACGATATGTCACCAATGCCTACGAAATCGGCCATGTGGTGCTTTGGGTCTCATCGCTCCTGGTTAGTTTGCTGTTCAGAAATGATGTGTTTGTTAAGAAAGTCACTGTTAATGTAAAGTGTATTGCTAGATTGACCCTTACTGTGTTCATTTCAGGGAGGACCCAGCAAGCAGGCTCAGGAACAGCTCAGTGGCCTTTTCAACAGTATTACATCCTTCTTCCACCCGTCAAACCATGGCCGCTGGTTGGTGAGTCACTTCACACTTCTTTTGGACGACTGTGGAATTATAAACAACAAGGGATGTTGACTGTTTCACAGCTGTGTTGTTGGGCATAGGCCTGTCACGATAATTAATTTTGTTGGACGATACATTTTTCTGGAAATTATTGCGATAAACGATAATATTGTCGGCACCGTTTTAAGACCATTTTAGACATAATGATAATATATTATAATAATTCAAGTACATCCTTTCAAACATAACTTTTTATTGAACATTCAACATTGCAANGTTGAGTTCAATAATTTGTACGGCCCTCGAAGGATGTTGTAAAAATTGAAATGGCCCTTGAGAGGAAAAAGCTTCCCCACCCCTGGTTTAAGGGGTAAATGCCTGCCTGTTTGTTTTTAATATCTTCCATGTGTAATCCTGTTTGCAATTCCTTACTGTTGAGTAAAGTAACCTGACTTGATGAAACTGTTTGACTTTATGTAATTTAAATACTAAAAGCATACGGTAACTATGAAATGAATTCAGCTAAAAAAGGACCGCTTATTTGTTAAAAAACTCTAAATTAAGGGTTGTTTTTGGTTTAATTTCAAAGACTTCTTTAGCCCTGTGGTAACTGTCCTTATCCGACGCAGTGTATCCCTTTTTCAGCCTAAAACCAGGGATCAGTCTGATTTATCATATTGTCAACCCCTGAACCCGACACATTTGGTGCACATGTTCCAATAAATGGCTGTATATTGTATCTATTAACCCTAGAACACTAACATCAGTGATTTTCAACCATGTGATTGGGTTCATATGAGCTTCGGGGGTCCTTGGGTAGCTTGAGGCTGCTCACTGACGTCTCGAGCAGTGGTTCCCAACTGGTGGGTACCCATTTCGAGTGGGTGCGAGTTTTTTCTTGAAAAAAGTTAAATCTTTATTTTGAAGGCCCGATTTTCTAACTACGCATGCAGTAGCCGTTTGACTGGAAATGCCGGAGACCATAAACTTTTTTAAAACTTCTGTCACGTAGTGATCATCTTCTCAATAAAACATCTTTGCTGATGTTTTTCCGAGTCTTCTGGCCAATCAGAATCAAGATTGTTGCCGGAAGTCCCCACGGAGAATAACTTTGAGGTAGAACTACTCTTTATACATCCATGTGTACAACTTCAGATAAAAATGAACACATAATGAAATATGACCCCCGGTTTGATGATTGACAGGTCACAGAACAATGGGGGCTATCTACCCTTACCCACAATTTAAAGTAATTCACACAGACTATCTCCTCTTTGCTCTTCTCTCTGTGAGGAGCAGCAAGCTGTCAGAACAAAGTAAAAATCAAAAAATGGCATCAAATATTATTAATATGTCGGGTAGTAATAGGTTTATTTATTTTCTTCTCAGAGTGTACCAGAATGCGTAGTTTATATGTTAGTATTTCTAAAAACCTCCTAGGGGAGAATCTCCCCAGACCCCGCTGCTGGGGATGGGTTTTCAGCATGTGGGCCTTTTTAATGTTATACAGTTCAGCTTTGATTCCATCATCTCATTAAACCTTTTTTTAAAAGCATTCTTTAGTTCTGTGAAGGGATATAAGGGATATATGCACTGTACTTGACTCTTATTAATATTGTATGCTAAAAAAGCGTATATATATATATATATATATATTACAGCACGATTTTTTGTTGAATAGATTTGAGTGGTTAGAATTTTGGGTCGCGATTTATTGACAAAGGAAAGAGTGGGTCCCGAGGCCTGACCAGTTGAGAACCACTGGTCCAGAGGGTAGGCGTGTTGCCCTGCTCCCATCCCTGTTTTTTTCAACATGCACGTGTTTGGGTTATTTTCACCCGATGTTAGTGATTGAGCGTAAAATATTTTTCTGGTGGATTTTACATGCAGGGAGACAGTGCCTTCACCGGACACGGCTCACATGTCCCAGGAACGGGAGGACCGAAGAACAAGTTCCCAGCGACTTTATTTATTTATTTTAGGAACTTTTCGTTAGTGATCCCCCAATGATTCCTTTTTTTGTGTTTTATGAGACGTTGTATAGAGGAAAACAGTAGAAGAGTACTTCCATTTGCCATGTATTGGTGTACTTAAATGTATTTTGATGAGGAGTATTTTTTAGTAATGGTGATATTGTTCGTTAGTGTTCTATGGTTAGGAAAATATTTGATGTCCGTCTATGTATGTATAAATATCCTTAGCATATATCAAGAACCTTTCATCAAATCAACTTCACACCAGGCAGGTGCAGGCGGCCGGACAGTTTTCTACAGCAGTGCAAAAACTCTTTTTTAAATGATGACACACTGTGAAGGTTTAAAATACATTAAAACACTGTCCATTATTCATTTAATAAGAAAATTCAGACCTGGTTAGCCTCTGTCCCTCGTAGCCTTTGAGCGTCGCCCACTGGCCATATAATCGCCCGTTGTCGGGTTCAGGGCAAGCTGATAGAGGTTTCCAGGGCAACGCCTCTGTGCAGGCAGTCAGGGCGTCAGGGAGAGAGCTGCCTTGCATCATGGGTAAGGGAACCGCACCGTAAGCAGCCACCACCTAGGATTCATATTAGACCCGTCATTAAAAGCTGAGAGCATGATCATCCCAAACAGATTGGAGGGATGATGCAGCAGCAGTTTCTCACCTTCCTGCCAGAGACGGCCAGGGAGTCGGCCATCTGCCACATGGGGACGCTGTCTCTGTGCAGCCTGTAGGGCAGGGTGAGGGCATCGAGGGCCAGGGCCAGCACGGAGGAGGAGTGGTACCACAGGGAGGGCTGAGAGAGGGGAGGGACAGCACAGATAGTTCCTTATATATATTTTATGATATTACATTACCTAAGCATACACTGCAGCCGTGTTAGACCTACACAAAATAATATTGATGACCCATAACTGCTGTCTGTTGGGCAGAGGGAAATTTACATTAGAATATAAATTAATTAATATATAACGGTTGAAAATGAGCTGCTGCTGGGCCACAGTGAGGAAAAACATTTAGACTATTGTTTTCTAACCCACTCTCGTGTGGAAGAAATGTTCATGTTCAGATGACTGACTGCAAATCTCTTGGCCATGATAGACTCTCAAAAAAAGTACTGTTTTTGTCTTTATAATTATGGTGTGAACTCCACCATCTAGTTGAATTACAATGATTCCTAAAATATGAAATCTACAAATATTAAGCCTTTCCATATCCTTACTCAAATCTAAATCTCAAATCTTAAAGAATTTTATTTGAATAAAGTTGAATTAGTCTTCAAACTTGGCATTGCCCAAGTTAAACATTATAAAATGAAACAAGAAAAAGTAAATATACACATATCAACAGTAGAAAAATATATAGGCTAAGCAGAGGATACTATTAAAGTTATAGATTTATAAATATTCTTATCATTTTGGTCGGGATCGCCCTTAACAATTTCCTATCATATCTAAATTAAAAATCTTAAAGAAATTAAACCGTATTATGAGTGTTAACATTCACGTTTAGTGTTAGTTAAGACAGACAGTTTGACACATATTGTTTGTTTCATTCATGTATTTAATGTAATTTTGAGTAAGATAAATGTCAAGAAAGAATTGTCAAAATAAGGCATTGAAATGGTATTAAAAAAGATCAAATAGAACTTAGTAAATCATTATAAATATCCCTTAAAAACTCTTTAAAATGATAAGTACATTTGCAAAGAGCACAGATAAAACATGGTAAATTAAATCAAAAACTCACATCATAGTTTAGGTAGGGGAACGCAGAGGGAGCAGAGGGCCGTCTGCCCAGCCCCCCCCTCAGAGTGAGGGGGCAGAAGAAGGAGCTGTTGCTGGCCATGCTCACCGTCCCTAAGGTGCAGTTGAGCTGGTGGTACAGCTCCCTCATGGGGGTCTGGGGGGTCTGGGGGGGGGGGACAAAGTGAGTACAGAAGCACATCTACAAAACGTCTGCATTTTAAATATCCCTCTGGAGGAGGTGACTCACTGAATCCGGGTGACTGACAGGCGCTAACCCCCAGGTCAGGATGCCCCTCCCACCATAGGAGTCCTGTAGCATCTCTGTGACCTTTGACCCCAGGCCTGCAAAGCCATTCGCCAGGTCACACAACACCTGGAAACCCTGAGAGGAAATGCAGAGAGACCAGGAGTTAATGACAGCTTAAACCGAGATTTACTGAAAATGGTTTATCTCATGAATTATGAAAACCTCAGTCAGGATGTTTGTACCAAGGGTTTTTATTGCTCTTGGGGCTTGAAAAACAAGATTTGAACTTTATTTTTTTTTAATCTATTTTTTTCAAATAGATTTGTTTATGTCCTCTCAGGTGGACAGTATGCGTTCAGGGTTTGAACTGAAGAGATGTACATTTAGAAAAAAGGATAAATAAAGATGTGCAAACTTAAAATTACATTATAATAACATAAGTATATTGATTTACGGCCCAAAAAGATATTGCAAATNGTAACACGAGCAATTTGTCTAAACATTTAGCAAAAGTGCACCACATTCAGGGGGTTACCGAGCTGCTAGAAAGACAGTCGAACCTGGTGCATTCCTCCGTCTGAATGTGGTGCACTTTTGCTAAATGTTTAGACAAATTGCTCGTGTTACCGCCCTTATATGATAAACTGTTATTGCACTTTTGGTAACGAGCATTGTCCACATCGAGACGGCTAAAGTTTAACCACACCTCGGAGCGCGTTCTCTCCGCCATCTCCTGCGTGTGTGTGTAAACTGCCCCGCCCCCTCGCAAGCAGGCGGGGGAGAGATCTCTCGTCTGAATTGGGAAGATCGAAAATACATTATAGACGCATTTTGTAGTCATATTGCATATTAGAAACGGAGTTGGCGACACTAAGACTGCGATATAATGTTTATGTAGCAATAATACATATGACATATGTTTTAAATGTCTCCTGTACCCATACAAAAGAGCGATAACTTTGGAGTTTAACAGGGTGTAGAACACATGTGATGACGTCACCAACGAATCGACGACTGAATTAGTTGCCAACTAATTTGGTAATCGATTTTAATCGATTAAGTCGATTAGTTGTTGCACCCCTACTCCCAACTGGAAAAACGGAATGGGGTGGTTGTGTTTTAGGTGTAGTTTAAAATGCGTGGTATTGCCTGCTTTTGTCGCTACCTTTTTTAAACCAATGCGACACACCGCCCGGCTCATTCAAGTCCGTAGGTTCGCCTCGTTGATTTGGTTTGAATCCAAAATACTGCCACACCGGAGAATCGAGATGTGTAGTTAGGTTTTGTAACCAATTCCATTTCACTTTAAATTCCCCGCGAGTAAGTCACACGTTGTCTCCCGCTTGTCGCTATATTATTAATTTGACTGCTGCACGTGCACGCGGAGTGTCCTGACCTGGCTGTGTGTCAGCCCCGCCCCTCACAGCGCCCCTGGCAGCCACAGCGCTCCAGGCTAAAATGCTGGTCACATCTTTATGTAAACGGCAATTTATCGAGCTCAGAAAAGTTATCGAGTCCATTTTTACTTATCGTACGATAAGTCAATTTATCGATTATCGCGACAGGCCTAGTTGGGCATCAGGTCAAAACATTGACAATTCTGCATGAATAACTTGTTAGTGACTCTGTGGGGTCAGCAGATCGTGTACTTCTCTGTGATAAATACAAAAAATATAGCAGAAGCGTACATCGAAAATAAAAAAATATAAGAAGAGAATAATGATAAACAACCTACATGTGCATGACTGCTACCAGGGAGTTTAAATCATTCACTTGGCTGAAGTTAACACAGCATACCAAAGCGCTCAGTGGCAACACAATCAAGTTTCCTGATTCTCTGTATCAACTTCTGAAATAACTTGCAAGTGAGAGGCCTACAATGCTATTAAAGGTCACCGGGAGCAGGGCCAAATGCCTCTCTGTTATGACGATCCACCGATACGAGATTCGAAGCACCACCGTGTCCTCATACATAAACCTTTATTTTTGGCAGGGGCCTGTGTTTGTCCATATATTTGGCTGTTGCTTGGAAACACGTGAGAGGGTCATTCACTTAGTTGATTGCACAACTGTCTACATGAAATGAAACCACAGCTAAGAGGAAAAAGTACTTCAGGTTGTATCGTTCAGAGAATTAGCTTAGCTATTGGCTAAAGGAAAAGTGGCTGTTATAACTTCATCTAGCTAATGGTTTCATCAAAAGTGACTTTCAATGAAAATTGCAATAAATACAAACTCAGAACAGCAACAATCATACCACAACTACAGTAGCTCTCAGTAAGACAAACCAATCGTTGCATACAGAAATTAGAGATGAAAAGATGATTTTGTATTGGCCAGGGCGAAGTTAAAACAGATAAGTGTTTATTCTCACTCTTTTGTCTCTGTGTAACAAAGTGATATTATATTTTGCCGAATGAATTTCCATTCATACTCAAGTGATTTGACTGTACTAAAATGATTCTATAATTGTCCATTCAATAGTACTATCTTATCTTATGCATACAGCACACATAGATAATATATCCAGTGTCTCATTTTGTCAACACACCATCCAATTCTCCATGTGTCCACTACAAGGATGTCCACTTTCCACCTGTGTGTTAGCCTCACTGCTTTCTCATGTATTTCTCTATCCCTCCCTCTGTCCTCATGAACAGATGAAACTCATGAGGCTGCTCCAGCGTCTCCCAGCCAGCGTGGTGCGGCGGCTGCACAGAGAGCGCTACAGGAAGCCCACATGGCTGACACCAGTCCCAGACAGCCACAAGCTCACAGAGGAGGATATCACAGCCTTTGTGGAGAGCATGATGCAGCCGGTGCTGCTGGCCATGTTCAGCAAGACGGGCAGCATGGATGCAGCCCAGGCCCTGCAGAACCTCGCTCTGATGAGGCCTGAGCTGGTTATCCCCCCCGTGCTTGAGAGGTAAGTCTTTTATGAAAACGACAGACTTTCAATGATCCATCTTTGACCCAAGTTCTGCCTCTTCAGAATCTAGAGCGCGGTTTCCCGCTTTAGATAAAAGACAAGGCTGCTTTTGGAGAGGAACACAAAGGGCTAACTGTTCTCCGTCTCTCCCACAGAACATACCCGGCCCTGGAGACTCTCACAGAGCCCCACCAGCTGACGGCCACTCTGAGCTGCATGATTGGAGTGGCACGGAGCCTAGTGTCAGGTGGGCAGCGCTATCCTGAGGGGCCCACTCACATGCTGCCCCTGCTCATGAGGGCTTTGCCGGGCGTTGACCCAAATGATTTCAGCAAGTGCATGGTGAGCTCCATTGTGATTCACTTCTATCTTCTCAAAGCGCTCCCACTGTGTTTTTGGAGGGTTGTGAACAAGTTATTCCATCTGATACAAACATTCCTCTCCCCACAGATCACATTCCAATTTATTGCTACCTTTGTGACTCTTGTGCCTTTGGTGGACTGTTCGTCCGCCCTACATGAAAGAACTGACTTGACAGAGGTGAATCATAATTATATATCATCTCCTAAATAAAAAAGTTGTTGAATGGTCCTTGGGTTTACCTTGTCATATCTTGTGTATGCCTTTCAGGTGGAAAGGGAGATGTGCTCAGCCTCAGCAGAGTTTGAAGACTTTGTGCTTCTATTCATGGACAGGTAAGAACAGCATCAGCAGCAGTGGCTGTCAGTGACACAGCTGTGATAGGAGAGATTTATTAGGTCTATCCACAATACAAGTACTGTTCATGTGATGGCTCAAACAAGATGTCCAGTCATCTGAATATCATTTAAATATTCTCCACTTTTAATAAAGAATAATTTGATACAGCAAAAGTACTAACATATTAACTTAAAAGAAACACTGCTTCTGACTCGAGAAAAGAACCGTCTTATACCAGAGTAGATTTTTATACCGAGTGAAATAGTATCCAAACATTTTAACTTTAAAATTTAACTCTTTTCTGTCATTCGCACAGATGCTTTGCCCTGATAGACAGCAGCACTCTGGAACAAACCCGTGAGGAAACAGAAACAGAGAAGATGACTCATTTGGAGAGTCTGGTAGAGCTCGGCCTGTCTTCCACCTTCAGCACCATCCTCACCCAGTGCTCCTTGGACATCTTCAAGGTGAAGAGTCACATCTCATTCATCCTTTTCAGAGCACTATAAATTAGGGCTGTCAGTTGATTAAAATATTTAATCGCGATTAATCGCATGATGTCCATAGTTAATCGCGATTAATCGCATGATGTCCATAGTTAATCGGAAAAATTAATCGCACATTTTTTATATGTTCTAAATGTACCTTAGAGGAATATTTTTCAATACTCTTATCAACATATGAGTGGACAAATATGCCTTATGCAACAATGACAAATATTCTCCTGAATATTCTCAACACAACAACCTGGAACATCTCTCTCTCTTTTCACTCTCTCCCAACCTGTGTACTTCACTGCACTGAGCCGGTTGCTCAAACAGACAAGCCTGTTTAGAGTTGTCGGCGAAATGCCGCTCCTCTGTCTTCATAACAGTCAAAGCATGAGACTGAAGTTCCCACAGGGGTCAAAATAATGCGCTGTGATGTGCAGTCAACACGTTGGATGTGATCCGAATGATCTCACACAGTCCCTCGTCCTCCACAATGTTAATTGTCCTGCAAGCTGTAGATAGGCCTGTCGCGATAATCGATAAATTGACTTATCGTACGATAAATAAAAATGGACTCGATAACTTTTCTGAGCTCGATAAATTGCCGTTTACATAAAGATGTGACCAGCATTTTAGCCTGGAGCGCTGTGGCTGCCAGGTGCGCTGTGAGGGGCGGGGCTGACACACAGCCAGGTCAGGACACTCCGCGTGCACGTGCAGCAGCGTAGCAGCCAAATTAATAATATAGTGACAAGCGGGAGACAACGTGTGACTTACTCGCGGGGAATTTAAAGTGAAATGGAATTGGTTACAAAACCTAACTACACATCTCGATTCTCCGGTGTGGCAGTACTTTGGATTCAAACCAAATCAACGAGGCGAACCTACGGACTTGAATGAGCCGGGCGGTGTGTCGCATTGGTTTAAAAAAGGTAGCGACAAAAGCAGGCAATACCACGCATTTTAAACCACCTAAAACACAACCACCCCATTCCGTCTTCCCAGTTGGGAGCAAACACGGCCGCTGGACATGGAGAGCCCCCGCCCGACAATGCAAACATGTTGGTGTTCCTTGCTCGAAAACTTAGAAAAACAGATTTGGATATGGCCTGTTGAGGCATCTGGGTCTTTGACAGTGGACTGTACACTTGACTGGTGTTTTAAGGAGGTTTTTGCTTGTGAAGATAATGTGTTGCTTCATATTTATTTATTTATTCTATATTAGTATACTATATATTATATTATATGAGAGAGCTCTGTTTTCAGCCTGGACTCTATTTATATTTATTGTTTTTTTGTGGTGATTTAATTAATTTATTATATATTAATTTGTTTATATATAATTATTATAATATTTCACATTTCATTTGCAATGTTGAATGTTCATAAAACGTTAGGTTTTGAAAGGATGTCCTTGGAATTATTTATATATTATCATTATGTCTAAATGGTCTAAACTGGTGCGACAATTATCGTTTATCGGCAATAATTTCCAGAAAAATTTTATCGTCCAACAAACTTAATTATCGTGACAGGCCTAGCTGTAGACACGTCACCCATTTTAGCTATCGCTGTTGAAAGGGCTTGCTGCTGGACGTAGAGCCGCGTGCAGGCGTCTCCGGCACCTTTTCAGCGTGGTCTGCCCGCGAGCGAGCGGCAGGAGCGGGGCCTGTCAGATCAGCTGTGTGCTTGGCTTGCTTGTTTAAAACACTTTTTTTTGTATCCAGTATCTCTCGCTAGATCTCCCACCCATCCACTAAAAACAACGTCAGCCTTTGGGCTCTCAAATACGGGGCGGGCCGAGCACAAATACCACATGCGTTAATCCACGTTAACATTAATTCGAGTGTCGTTAAAAGGAAAATTGCGTATTAACGCGTTAACTTGACAGCCCTACTATAAATATGAACTAATTTTTTCCCTTGTTTAACAGGTTGCTCCTTAAAAGGTGTTCACTTGTGCAACCACCAACATCTTTGAGCACGAGTAGCTGGCAGATGGTGGGCTGACATGTGCAGAGCCGCTTTCCAAGGTATCCACTCGATCTTTCTTCATGGCCCATC